AGTGTCACCTGTTCATGTCAACCGTGCAGTGTCACCTGTGCATGTCACCCAGGCAGTGCCACCGTGCAAGTGCCCTTTGCTGCTTTGACCTGCAGGACCTGCCCCTTGACGTCCTGGTTGGATTTTCTCTGGGTCGTTCCACTGGCTCCACAGCCGGTCTTCACGAATGTCCCCAGAGGACGCGGGCTGATGGGGACATCAACTCTGGTGGTCGAGGGGCCGCGTAGGCCAGGCAGGGAGGACAGATATGTCTGGCTGTCTCAGTGGGAGGTTGACTGAGAAAAAGCAAAAACCTCTGAGCGAACCAGGCTCAGAAAGACGCTTGGTGGAGGTGACACAGAGTGATCGGGTGAGGTCCGAGGTGCTGGGGACGTGGCTCAGGTGGCACGTGCAAGGCCCTGGGTTCAAACCCCAGCACCGCCAGAACAGAAGGCAAGGCCTGCCTGGCAGGGTTGGCAAGGGCGCCATTGCCCGGGACTCTGCACCATGGAAGGGGGACCCTGGGTCCTTCGTGGTGGGGTCACTTTAACGGCCACTTCCTGCGTCTGCTTTGTTCCCACGCGGCTCACCTTGGAAATGGGCTCCTCAAAATGGCGCCCTCAGAGCATCAATTCTCGTCCCCCCACAGCTGGCGGAGCTGCAGAGGGCCTACGAGGGCGCCAAGAAGACAGCGCAGCAGCTGAAGAGGAAGTGCCACCGCCTGACCTGGGACCTCGAGGACACCCGGGTGCTGCTGGAAAACCAGCAGAGTCGGAACCACGACCTGGAGAAGAAGCAGAGGAAGTGAGTCATGGTCCCCAGTGCCACCTGGCCACCAACCCCTGGTGGGCGGCACTGGTGCTGGGGTCTCTGGTGCCGAAGTCTGCCTTTCCCCCTCCCCAAATCCCTGTCAGCATCCCCCAAAAATTCCAGCAAGAAACGATTGCATTGTGTCACCCACCCCTGGCTTTGCTCCCAGCTGGCCGTGTGACACGGGGGCGTCCTTGGCCTCTCTGAGCCCCACCTGCAATGTCTAGAGTAGGGCAGACCAGGACAGCCTAGCATGGTGGTCAGGAGCCTCGATGCTGCTATGAGGCCATCCCCGCTCAGGCCCCCGCTGGGTGACCACTGACTGGACACGCAACCCTCTGGGCCTCAACCTCCCTCGTGGTTGGGGGAACGGCACCCCGCTCCCTCCAAATGGTCTGCATTCTGGTTTCTGTGCCCGTGCCGAAAACTGATCAAGAGAACGAACCAGAAAACGAGGTCCATTCCCTTCTCTGGACTCCCCGGGAGCAAAACCCTGGCCCGCGTGGACCTCGTGACTTAGATCACGCACGCAGGTCCCCCCGCTCACGATGGCACAATTACGTGACTCTCATCCACTTCTTATGTCCCCCCCCGGCCAGCTGGGGACGCGTCTAAGTCCTTCAGCTCCTTGGTGAGGGTGGCGGGGTGCCGAGGGTCCGTCTGGACTTTGCGGTGGCACACGGGGGACGTGACCCTTCGCACTCAGGGTGAACGCGGGAATCACAGGCAGGGGGACGAGCGTGGCCTTGCTCGCGGGGCGTCTGTCCCAAGGCCGCGGCAGCACTGCACCTCCTGAGCGCTGCGTCTTCGGACAGAAGACCTTGCGAGCGTCGTGGTGTCCCCCGAATCCGAGAGGCGTCCATCTTCCTTGCTTCCTTTTGCCTCCCTCCCCGCCCTGGGCGCTTTGGCCAAACCTTGTCCTTGCACTGGTGCCGCATGCTGTGTGACCGTGTGACAGGACAGCAGCTCCCTGGGCCACCGAAGAAAGCGTGACCTCCGCGGGTCACTGAAGAACAGCTCTGACCGAGCCCGGCTGTAACATGAGAGCCGTGGACCCTGCAGCTTTCTCCCAGCTGTGACCCTCTGGTCCTCACCTGTGGGTTCCACTCCTGTCACGAGGATTTCATGTCTTGATGGGCAGGAGCCAGAGGGATGCGTCCTCACCACTGTGGCCAGGGCGGTCCACTGCCGTCCCCGTTGGAGGTGGCTTCCTGTTGCCATGGTCACCCATGATGGGTCACAAAGGTCCATTCCATGGGGTACGGAGCTTGTGGGGGGAGCCCCATGCCTGGCTCCCTGACCCCACTCGGAGCTGGACGCCGGCAGGCCTGTCCCCCCGGGGTGACGGTCACGTGGGGGCTGCCCGGTGTGCTCGGGAAGGTGGGCTGCACCTCCTCTCTCTGCCATCTGTGGCCTGTTAAGCCCGGGGCCTCTGGGGGACACTGGACCCTGCCATCAGGCCCCCGCCACCTTGTGTCACCTGTGCCAGGGCGTGGACAGGTAGGTGGGGGTTAGTGGAAGCGAGGGGAGCCGGCTCGAGACTTTCCTCCTCTCTGGGCTGGGCCCGGATCGCGTCACCTCTTTGGCAGTGGCTCTATTGCCAAGGACTCTGGTGATCCCACAAAGGCCTGGCACATGAGGACAGCAGGACCATCCTGTCATCACAATATTTCCATTCAAAGGCAGGAAATAGAATGCAATCACCAGCAGCCAATCAGAAAGCTCCTTCCATCGGCAAGCCCCTATGTGAGCTGTGATTGGCTTTTCCAGGAGCCTGGGACTTCTTTTTTAACCAATCAGGAGAAGCCTTTTTTGGGCCTAATGTTACAACCAGGGGGCAGCAATGGGGGTTTCCTGGCTGCTGGCAAAGTGAGTCAGAGAGGGGGCGTGGTCAGAGCCTCTGCACCAATCACATTTGACCTCCATGCAAATGAAGACTTGGCACCAATCACATCTGACCTCCATGCAAATGAAGACTGTTGGCACCAATCACAGCTGACCTCCATGCAAATGAAGACTGTTGGCACCAATCACAGCTGACCTCCATGCAAATGAAGACTGTTGGCACCAATCACAGCTGGCCACCAGGGGACATGCTGTCCATCCGGCCTGCGTGGAAATGGCTGAGCGTCACCTAGAGCTCCCCAAGGCTGTGATGGGAAATCCCTGGAGCTCAGGAGCTGCCACAGGTGGCTGCGGTTGTCACTCACAGTGCAGCAGCACCGGTCCAAGGACAGCCTGTGGCTGAAGGCCACTGGGGCTGCAGGACACTGACCTTGATTGAGCAGCTGGCCTTGTGGCATGGGGGATGGCTTGTGGCAGGGAAGCCGTCCCACCTCCAGGATCCAAATCCAGCACCACCCAAAGCTGTGACAAAGGCGACCCATCCTGACTGTCCCTACAGGATTCTCCTGCACAATGGGGACGAAGGGTGACACCAGGCTGGGTGCGTCATGGCCGGCATTCACCTCTCAGTCAGTGTCACCAACATGGTGGGGCCGGGGACCCCACGACACCTTAACTACCCTGCGGCTCTTGGTGGCATGTCTGTCCATCTTCTGGCAGGAAACGAAGAAAAGCAAACGACGTACAAATGTCCACCTCGCAACCAAAATGACCACGCTCCATTTAATACGGCTGCAGAAGAGCCGGCCAGACAGCAAGGGACAAATCGTGACTCGGACAACGAAGAAGAATTACGCCGCACGTGTTCACAGTCCACGCGCAGACACAAAAAGACGCAAATGTGACAAAAGTCCCCGAAAAATGCAAATAGATGAGCATGCGTACAAACGGTCACGGACACACGGACCACGCAGATATGCGTGCGTGCACGGTGTGCGCGACACAAAGGTCATTACACGAGTTAGATCGGCCACCAAACAATTTCATGCCCAAACGCGCGCCAGGTTTTAAGGGTTTTAGATGCCAAACTGGGTCCTGATAGACTTAATGCATCTTCACAGATGTCATGAAGCAGACAGATTAGTGCGCGTGGTCTCTCTCTCTCTCTCTCTCTCTCTCTCTTTCTCTCTCCCTCTCTCTCTCTATATGTATGTGTGTGTGGATGGGTGGGTGGATGGATGGATGGGTGGACGGGTGGATGGGTGGGTGGACGGGTGGATGGATGGGTGGGTGGGTGGACAGACGGATGCGTGGGTGGGTGGATGGGTGGACAGACGGGTGGGTGGATGGGCGGGTGGTGGGTGGGTAGACAAACTGTATCTGGAAGGTAAATGGCTCTCTACTTATCTTTATATATATTTAAGTTTTACTTTGCATCTGTCTTTGGATTTCCTCTCTAGTTCGCCTGGTTTCTATTTTGTGTCCCTTGTTTTTGAGGGGTTCCTGTAACCCTGACCCTCACCCCATGGCATCCACACTCCTTCTTGCCCCCAGCTCGGCACACAGGAGAGCCCTCCATCCTCCTCGCTTGTGGTTCTCGCCCCTCCCACCCCTGCCTCAGTTTCCCCAGTGCAGGCCCTGACGTGCTGTGTCTGGCAGGTTTGACATGCAGCTGGCGCAGGCCCTGGGGGAGTCGGTGTTCGAGAGGAGACTGCGGGAGAAGCTGGCGCGGGAGAATGACGGGGCACACTGGGAGCTGAGCCGGCTGCAGCAGCAGCTGCAGGTGAGGGGACCTCGAGCCTTGGGGGGGCCACCAGCCTCGGGGCTCTGAACCTCATGAGACCCCAGATTACCCTGCCACCCACAGTGACAGAGCCCACGCGGTGTCCTGGTCTCACAAATCGATATTCAGCCTTTGGCAGTTTGGGGACATGAGCTTGGCCATTTGCCTGCAGAGGGACCCGGGACACCTCATCCGTGAGCCCTGCCCCGCCCCAGAGAGACAATTCAGACATGGCCGGGGCACCTTGCCTGGGCACTGCTTTCCTGCTGCAGCTCCCCGTTGTCCCCAGGAGGACTTGGGGCACCTGACATCAGTTCCTTTGAGGTCCAGCCCACTGTCCTTTGGCCCTGTAGTTGACTTCCTTCTGTAGCCGGGCCACTGGGAACATGCCCCAGCTCTGTGCCTGTGCTCCCTGCAGGGATGGACAGACAGACACTTCCTTTATGTGCCCTGAGATGGAACTCGGGCACTGGGCTTGATCTCCCCCAATCCCATGTCCCCTTCTGTCCCAAAACTGCAGCCTTGCTGGTGTCCCCCAGGGGGCGCTGTAGGGACCTTGATGTTGACTTGAGGATGGCAAATTGCAAACAGGAACATGGAGCCGGGCGTGGTGGTCACACCTGTAATCCCAGCACTTGGGAGACTGAGGCAGCAGGGTTGGGAGTTCTAAGCCAGCCTGGGATGCATAGCCAGTCCTGGCTCAGAAATAAAAATAATGGAAGTGGAAAGTCCCAGCAGTCGGTAGAGGCCTCCATGACGCCACCCCCTGTCCTCTGTCCCTGCAGCAAAAGGAGCAGGAAACCTCGAAGCTGAGGCAGGAGGTGGAGACGCTGCAGGGCCAGAAGCGTGAGCTGCTGGCGTCATCCTCTCTGTCCTCTCTGGGGGAGAATGGCGTCACGGGCTTGAAGGACAAGCTCTGGGAGCTGGAGGCCAAGGCCCGGGAGCACGAGAAGGTTCAGAGCCAGCAGAAGAGTGCCATTGAGCACCTGGAGCAGGTGGGGGCCGCGGGAGAGAGGGAGGGACGCCTGGTGGACAAAGGGACGGTACAAGACACGGCCGCATGCCTGCTCATCCCTCTGTGGCTCCCTATGAGCCCTGGAATGCCCCCTCTCCTGCAAGATCAGTGTCACCTCGGAGGAGGAGCGGATGTCACCCCATCCATGCCACACTCAGTGCGTCTCCTTCCCTGGTGACCGTGCCATCGGGTCAGACAGAGTTTTACGCTTTGTCTCCATTAAAGATCTGTTTCAGCCGGGCACCAGTGCTTACGGCTGTAATCCCAGCTACTGGGGAGGCTGGGATCAGGAGGATTGCGGTTTGAGACCAACCCAGGCAAATTGTTCTCGACCCGATCTCAAAAAGAACCAGAGCAAAATGGACGGGCGGTAGCGCCTGCTTTGCAAGTGCAAAGCCCTGAGTTCAAACCCCAGTCCCACCAAAAAAAAAAAATGTTTTTTACAAAAGGTGCTGTGGCTGTGTCGTGGGCCTGGGTGGCCTCGGATGCTGCTCCAGCCACGGGCAGCACTTGGCCATTCGGTGACCATGCTGGCCTCGCAGGCGCCAGGCTGCTGACCTCACTTGCACACAGGGGCTGGGATGGGAGGCCAAGAGCAGGTCCACCCTTGTGTGTCCCTCACATGTCCCTTGCCTGCTATCCCTCTTGCTGTCCCCAGCTCCGGCAGCGGCTCCAGCTGGAGATGGAGCGGATGAAGCAGATGCACCAGAAGGACCACGAGGACCAGGAGGAGGAGCTGGAGGACGTCCGTCAGTCCTGCCAGAAACGGGTACTGCCCGGCCCAGGTCCACTCGTGTGCCCAGAGGGAGGGAGGGGGACAGGCTCTTCCTGCCACCGCCTGAGGCCTCCGCTCCCCGGGGGACCACAGTGCCCAGCTTAAATGCAGACTGGCAGGACCGGCCCCAAGTCAGACTCCCACCAGTGTCCACTTCTCAGGGTTCGTGTCCCACCTCCCGAGGGTCTGGCCAGCCCGTGTGGGGCCCGCTGACCGTGTCTGTCCCCTGCAGCTGCGGCAGCTGGAGCTGCGTCTGGAGCAGGAGCACGAGGAGAAGCGGGCAGCGCTGCACGAGAAGCAGGACCTGGAGGGCCTGGTGGCCACGCTGTGTGAACAGGTGAGGGGGACTCGTGGGGGGTATGAGGGGACATGGTCCCCACCGCTGTGCTCAGCTGGACACACTGGGCAACCCTGGATGGTCAGGCAGGGCTGGCTCAGGCCTCCTCCTCTCCCGGTCCCTTCTGTCCACGCTTGCTGTCCTCCACAGGACACTCAGGCCTCGAAGCCGCAGGTTCTGGGAGTGGCCGGCAGGAGGACAGACGAGGCCACTCGGGTCAGAGCACAGACTGCGGTGGCCCCGATGGGATAGGAATGGCCGGTGTCTGCCCGGGCTGGGGTCAGTGCAGAGCCTCTGTGCCCGAGAAGCAGCGCCTCGTGGGCTGCTGTCATGAGGCCCATGTGCCATGGCTGTCACCAGGGTACTCGGCCTCGCTGTGGACATCGTGGCCAGGACACTGCCTCGTGGGGGGGGCTGTCCTGTGTGTTCCGGGGTGTCGGACGTCATCCCTGGCCTCCGCCCCCAGGTGTGACAACCACAGTGTCTGCACACGACAATTGTCCCTGGAGGTCACCTTGGCCTTCCTCCCTCTGAGTCGGGGGGACTCTGTCCCCAGTGGGGCTGAGGCCGCGTGGACATCAGAGTGGGGATTGGGTCCCCCACCCCGTCCCCTTCCCGGCCAGGCTGCTCCTGAGTGAAATTCGCTGCTGTCGCAGAATTCCTGAGCACGGTTTAGAGGAGGAAAGAGTGACCTTGTCTCCCGGTCTGGTCACTGGCTCCACTGTTGGGCCCTTGAGTGTGTGGAGGGCAGGGCGGCCCCTGTGCGAGCAGGAAGCAAAGATGGCAGAGGACGGGGACAAGGTCCACCCTTCAGAGGGCCACCCAGTGACCTTCGTCCTCCTCCAGCCCAATAGTCCATTCCAGCTATAGCTCATCCGTCACGGGGCAGTCCACTGACGGGTCAGCACCCTCGTGCCCTGTCACCTCTCACCAGGATGTGGCTTTTCCACATCCTCTTGGTCACTGCCCCCTGCGAGCTCCAAATTCCTGGGGAAGGGACATGGTCACCTGTGCGTAAAGTCCCCTGTCCAGGCAGTGTCCTTCCTGTCCTCAGATCAGCAGAGGACAGCAGTGCAAGCTGGCCTCGGTGGACCCTGAGGTTGGGAGTGCAAGGGCCTTGTCCAGTGTCACTGGGAATGAGTGGCAGAGCCAGGATTTGAACCCAGGGAGCCCGGGTCTGGAGAGCTCGGGGCCAGGCACGGCTCGGTCACCCCTGAGCTCACCGCCCTGCCTTGGCTTCCAGATCGGCCACCGGGACTTGGACGTGGAGAAGCGTCTTCGCAGGGACCTCAGGAGGACGCACGCGCTGCTGTCGGATGTCCAGCTCCTCCTGGCCACCACGGACGACGGCAAGACGTCGGTCAGCAAGGAGGAGCTGGAGAAGGTGCACAGCCAGGTGGGCAGTGTGGGTCCCCCGAGCCGGGGAGCCTGGCACGCGGGGGTCACAGGGCAGGGGTCGGGGGCCACTGGGCGCTGCGAGGGATGGTGGGGACACCTGGTCTCCTCTTCCCACGGAGGCCGGCTGTCTGTCTGTGCCGGTGTCCATCTGTGTGAGCGGTGCTTGGTCACAGCCAGGGCTGGGCATCAAAGAAACAGCAGTCGTGCTAGCAAAGGCACTGTAGACAGGCAGTGGCCATTTGTCTGTCCAGATGCTAATGGCCCTGCTCCAGAGACCTGGGGGCCACTGGCCACTCCGTCCAGAGCCCCCGTCCCCCGTGAAGTGAGTCCTTGTCCAGGTCACATGGCTCTGGGACAGTGAGTGACAAAACACCCAAGAGGAACGGTTTACAGAGAGGAAAGGATCACTGTGCG